GTAAGAACCACACTAGACCATCACAAGACCATCGCAAGATCTACACAAGACTCCCAGCCTGAATCCAAGTCACGAGCTGTTTAAATGAAGTTAGTCAAAAGCACCCCTTGGTCATTGTTCATTCACCTATTTATGATTGATCTTACGACTGGTCTTGCGAATGATGTTGTGTCTGGTCTTGTGATGGTCTTGACTAAAACGCTGGTGGTAAGTCACACGCGCCAGGATTGGCATTGTGTGAGTCAGTTACCGGTACAGCATTATGGAGACAGTACATCAAACGTGTTGCTGATCTCAGGAATTTGTGGTCATTTTTGCAGGGTTCGCCAAGCTCAACTGGAGGCCATCTTTAGCCTGATGCAAGATAACAAGGAACGCTTCGGTATGTCCTCCGTGGACGACGTTCAGAACCAGTACAAGCTGTATGTGTGACACCAACTCGGTTCTCTCAAGTCGGTATCCAACCCCTGGTATTGTATTCATGAGTTGCGAGTTTGTTCTCAGCTTCAAGTCCAGATTGCCCAACGTAAACCACCCAGACGCCTTGTACGTAGTTTGACGTGCAGTTCTGTTAAGCCTTAAAGGCCATTGCTTTACATAGAGTACCGAAGAGTGACATCACTGTGAACCAGAAAGTGCAGTGCAAACAAATGGAGTACCCGCGCATGTTGGTTCACGCGCTGGTTCTCGCGCTAATGCCTTTTACACACTAACTGTGCGAGCGACGTATTCACTTCGGTACTCTATAGAGCTTGAAGGTCCTACATTGTCATAATTTGGTAATGTTATGTCACACTGAACAGTGCTGAATATTCAAAGATTCAGGAGTGTCCTTTGCATATATTCCGAGGGGATAGGTTTCATCTTCCAGCGGTACTGGGCACGATGTGCTTATTAAATTGTGAAAAATTACATAGAAGTTTTTATTCTTATTTATATCACCAGAGGGTGAAATTAGACAGGGAAAAACTGTTCAGACATTGTTGTCTTATGATCTGTCACATCACAAGGTCACATGGGATGTCACACAGTGTCAAAATTCCTCCACTTATTCAGATTCTAAACACCAGAAGTGTCACAGTGTTAGTATGCCTATTGGGAAAGAGGACTGGTGAATACTGAGATTCATGATGTCACATTCGTTGCTTCTTGTGCACAATTTGACCAAGCACATCCTTCTCTCTTTGCACCAATGAGGTAAATGGTTGGAAGATTATCCGATGTCTGGCCACAGTCCAACTTTTCATATGAAGGCAGCATGTGTGTTTGCAGTCTGTACTCGATTGTGCTTTAGAAGTGAAGGGGTTACAGGAAAGGGCTACACTTTCTGAGCTCCGGGCACATGGCTATCAATTGCTTGCCAATCACTGTACATGTGGCTACAGAGAGAGCTATGTGTATCTGTAGGCCAGCAGTTAGGAAGTTGAGTCCAGCCATTAGTAAGGTTTCTCAGTGCCAGCATTTACTTGAATGCATACATTTTACCACCCATGAGCATAATTGGTCATTCCAACGTTTGGCTTCTTGTTTGCGTACACATGCATTTAGCAACCTGACAGCATCCGCCCCAACTTGAAGTGCACCCCCAATCGGCAAAAGAAAGACAGATGGTAGTAAGTTTTCCAAGCGGGTTCTTGCACACATTCTGTGTGTACGCAAAGACCGTACATTAAGGACTAAATTTATTTGTAAAACGCACTCAGCGTGCTCCGTGTCAAATGCACCATTGATATCCGTTATAAACGCTCGCCTATACGGTGAGGACAAAAAAAACACGCCCTCTTTTGTTCCGCTCAGAGCAGATTACAATGGAAGTTGTAAGCCTCCAAGGGGAACCTTGTATGTACAGCTTTGAAACAAAAATGGCAAATACATGTTCAGAGATTTATCCGTTTTCAACTCAATACTACATGAATGAATCAAGAGGTCGCTAAGTGAAAATTGACACTTCATCAGACATGCTACTTTGACGCATCGCGAGCATGATATTCATACCCTTTGCACCCACAGCGGACGGCAAGTTGCACGCTCAGTATTTGTTTTACTTATGAAACCTCTCTCTTGTCCACTGGCCTACCTTTGGGGCAAAATTAACCACACTGCAGTTAAATCAGCACGATTCTCAATTGGGTGTTTCCATTTAAACTGCGTGCTTCGTAGTTTTTGCAGGTTATTGGCGTCCATGCCAGGGTCACGTGACACATCTCCGTGCTATGGTGTTACCGAGGAAAAAGTGAGGTCCTACACATTTTTTGAAAACGTTGGTTTCAAATATGACAGAATACAAATATTGAGTAGCTCAGAATAGAATTGGAGGAATATTATCCCTTGGTATAATCTGGACTTTTCCATTTCAAGAGGTAAAAATGGAACAGTCCAGATTTTACAAAGTGACAATATTCTTCCTTTTTCACAATTTCAAGCTACTCAGTATTTGTTTTAAATAACTGACATACAGGTCCCAGTCTGCCGCATCAATTAAGTCCTGGTAATCAGTGTCCGAAGTGGATGCAACTGTTGGTGCATCTGTTGATGTCGCCACCATGATAGTGTGTGCTCGTCAAGCAGCACAAATTTGGTTACAAGCTCCCAGGTGTTGGTACGTGGCACTCCGCTAATCAAAATTAGTAAGGCTTGACTGTTCAAAAGCCATGGGAACATGTTGACATATTGAGACCCCGGTGTGAATGACAGTAATAATAAAACGTGATCTGAGCTTCACCAGTAAATTAAATTCCCAAGGATTTGTGTTTGGTTATGTAAGAGTAAAGGGTACATGTAGCTCCTATTTCCATGATAATGCTGCTTTTGATGAAAATTTTGAACAAATGTACATAGGAAAACAAAGCTAAAATTGTACAGTTGAGAATGACCAAATGTTTGTAACAAGTTTGTTGCTGATTCTGAACACAAAGTTCTATAACTTGTTGAATGTAGGTAGTGTTAGGACCCCCCAAAACACCTTGTGAATGAAGTTGCACTAGAACATGTTGTGATGTAGAGATTGCTGCAGCAAGTCATTTAAAAGGCAAGAAAGGTGATGAAGCAGATCTTTTCCCACCTTCCAGATCAATTTCCGCTATTGGGCCACTCTGCGGATTGGAGATTTTAGTCAGATTTGTAGCAACAGTGGAAGCAGTTGTTAAAAAATGGAATCTGGGTACCCACAATAAATTAAGGGAAAAATGAAATTGATTTCAGTACCTTTAGATCCAGATGAAGTTGAATTTACAGATTGATTACAGCACATGGCTTAGATGATTGTCAGCTCAGTACTAAGGAATTTTTACTCCCATGGGTTCACCTCAAGCCATCAGGACGCTCTGTCCTTAGACAAGCTTCAGTGACCTCTGGTAGACAGGAGCCCCTTCCAGGCACAAAAGAGAGACATTCTCTACGCCATTCCCTGCCAGGATTAGAGAGGCAATTAGGTTCCAGATGTGAACCCAGATCGGTGCTTTTTTTGCATACAGTCTACAGCAAATGCTTTTATGTTGCGCAGGTAGAACTTTCTCTGTTTCGTCCACATGTTCAATTGATGTAAAGTGTTACACACTGTATGCACAGCTAGGCAGATAAGACTTTACACAGGTGATAAGAAGGTTAAGCTATGTGGCTTATGTTTTTAAATATATTACGGGCGCGGCGAACAATTGTTAGTTTGGTTACAAAGCTTGTTAGTGTTGTATGCATGATGAGTAAAAATAGATGTACGTACGTGCAGTAGTTGAACAAAACACTATAGTATGTTGAATATCACTCGTGACTGAATTGTCTGATAAAAAGAGTACCACGTGACCACACAGTTTCCCTGAGATCGGCCGACACTGCAGTAGGCAAGCCTTTGGTTAGAACCCTCACTTCATGTTGTGACTTCTAGACAGTGGTGCCTTTTTTGGCATAAAATAACAAACTTTTTTACCAAATGGTCCATTGTAATGGTTACCACCACTTCAGTATACAGTTATTGTCCAGTGAGTACTAACTCCATGTTTCTCATACGTTTTGCTATTTGTAAAGGCTTATTTACTACACGTACCTAAACACTGTGGGCGGCATCACAGTCTACGCGTGTTTTTTAAATGAGTGGATTCGGCTTAGACTTTGGTGTCACTGGTTCAAGCCATTTTAAAGCAGCGTTTGAAACCACATGTTCAAGCTCTGACCGGAACCAGCAAAACCGAAGTTTAAGCTGAATTCACTCGTTTCGAAAACACTATGCCGATAATGATGGTGACTACGTCTGTCACCTGGGCTAGTGAGAGAGTCCTTTCCAAAGTATTACATGACTCAGTCTGAGCAAATGACTAGGCAAGACATAATTGAGCAGGTTTTATGCCCAGTACCTAAGATTTATAAGGCTTCAAGAGCCTTGAGCAGTTACGATTCACTTTGAAGGACCTAGCCTCGGTTAATATGAGAGGTCATTTATGAAGGATGTATGGGGGCAGGGAGGAAGTTGGGCTCATCTGCTCCTTGCATACAGGAGTCCAAGGCAGTGGGTACCTTAAGAGAGCAACAACATTGCTTTAATAACTTCGCTTGACTATAATGCACTTCCAAGTTTAATACATACATGGACCAGCTTTTATACTTCAAAAAATGGTCATAACACTTTGGCTTTCATCCCAACCACATGTATCTTACTAGCACTTCCCAGTGTCACCAGTCTGTTTATTCACAGGCAGTGTGTAAGTGTGGGGGGTGGAGTCAGTGCGCATGCTGTGTATACAAAGGGGGGGGGTCTAAAAAGTCCACATTTTGTGCGTATGTACCGTACTTAGGGTGACCCCCGATGTGTCATTTTTGATAACACAGTTTTCGCTGTATTTATTTTTGAGTTTGTAAGTCTTAGCTCCATGTTTTCAAAACTGTTCGTTTTTAGACCTTGACTTCTTACAGAGCTGCAGACGCACATTTGGTTCTTGTCACTTGAGTCAATCTTTAAATCACTTCCGTCTTTTATACACAGGATTGCATTGGTGTAAATGGAGAGGACTGTAGATAAATTGTACATCACTTGCCTACTTTCTCTTTTGTTTTTAAGTGTTTTACATTTTACAGAGTGAAAGTTATAGTTCTAAAAAGTATACGTTGTATGTACATTGACGTGTGAGTAGAGCAAGTGTGCATTTCAGTGAGGTAGTGCATGCATCTAACAAGAAGTCGTTTTCTTGCCACTCTCCCTCTGGTATGAAATATAACATGTAGTTGATTCGACAGCCAAAATTCTGTTGCATCAAGCCATGAAATATATATATTTTTTTTGGGGTGCACAAGGACACCATTATGAAATGCATGTAGGTGCGTATTCTAATTTTTTGGCCAATCCCCCTTCCAAATTAGGAAATGCTATTCAACACGAATTGCAAGCATTTTGTATGTGGTATGTGTGAGTGGTTGACATGATCGTATCTCCTTGTTTTTCACAGTCATCGTTTAGTTTGGCACCTGTCTACATGTTCAAATGTAGGCACCTTGTGTGCACCAGACCTTGTCAGTTACACTTGGCTTCAGTAGAGGTATGTTATCACAGCCATTACCAAAAACATGTTTATACCGGACAGCAACATAATGGTGGTCATGTTTTCTCATCCCAACAAAAATTCTGAAGTGAAAAAAAAAAATGGTTTGCATTTCCATGTTGAACAGCTCCACAGATGTCTGTGGATTGTGGATTAGAGATAATCTGACATTTCCTTTCCTTATTTGCCATGAGTGTAAAATATTTCACAGTCCAAATATTTTGCAGCAATGAAACAGCAAACCCCATCATGACCACTTCGTCATCTTTTTATCCGTTTAATATCCACTGTAATGCACCCAGGTAACAACAGCGATTTTTGGTTTCATTCGGTCCCGAAGTTACTTTATTAATTAAAGCTGGGAAAAATATTCAACTAAATCCACAAACTCAATCAAATGTTACAGTCATGTTTGTGGTCGTGACAACACGCCCCGTTGCCTTGTACTTACACTGGAGGTCGCAACTTAAGAACACAAGAAAATGAATATTAACTAATGATGAAAACAATAGTAACATCTCAAATGTGGGGGGGGGGGTGTTTTTGTTTACTTACATTTTCATTTCTTTCCTGTTGAATTGTACTGAGGTATAGGTTATGTTTATTGAAGTGCAATAAATGCTTGTGTTCAAAGATATGCACACTACTGACTAGCGTCAACCTGCGGTTGTTATTTATGGATAGTGGTGGAGTGGATGGCATTCAGTACTCATAGATCCAACCTTTGGATATCGGAAATAGGCACCTCGGACTCGTCTGAGTGGCTCAATCGGTTTCAAACAAAATGCAAGAAAATCCTTTCAGTGTGAATTCTTGTGAATTTTGCGACATGAATATTTGGTGTCAAGCAGGGGTTTGGGGCTATAAAAGCTACATAGATATACAGAATACTCAAGATATCAAAGTCAAGCTTGGTTGGGGGGGTTGATAACTGCTGAATGTGTCTAGTGGATAATGAAGCACAATCCGTGCATGGTATAAATCAAGAGACTGTTCTACAGATGCTGGAAGAGTGCAGATTCAACAGCCACAGGCCTAGGGGAAGCTTAAAAGTCTGCATCATTATCAACAGAAATTGAAACCCCGGATTGTGTGAGCGCTGTCATGCAGTTATAGTTCTCTTGGGCAACGTGCTGAAGCCAGGTTGCTGTACTGAACCAAGAGGAACAATACAGCAACGCTTTCCTTTTCTGAAAAAGAACCGTGGTGCTACTGTGATAAGTGTCACCTTGCTTCAGCATTCAACTCCTGAAAGAAAAGAGGGGTCAGGAATCACGTTATTCATTAGTCAACATGACAAACATGAGATTAATATGGTTCTGAACTGTAGGGCGCCCTCTGTTGGCTCCCAAATCAAAGTTAAGCATTTGCCAACCACGTCCTTGCAACTCATGTACCAAGCATGCCAGTGACCACAAATCTCTTGTATGGAGTTTGACATTGGCAGGCGATGCCACAAGGGGGGAAGGGAAGAGTAGATAAAAATGGCAATGAAAAGAGACCGACACATAAAAATAAATTTTACATAAAATTGGAACTGTAAGAGGGCTAAAATGACGCTCTTCTTGTCTGCACCATGATAATTGAGTGATATGGATTCAACAATGTCCCCTGCAGTACAGAGAGGTCCATCCAGTCTTCAACTCATCAACTAGTGACTTACAGTTCCCATTTTGGTGCCTTCCTCTCAAAAAAACAACACTACTACAGCTGTTGTGGGGGTTTTGCCTGCGACAGTTACAAAAAATAACGTACCTTGTGGACCACTGATCCCAGGACCATCAAGGTCTGTGCTGCCAGGTCTCTGCACTCCGCATTGGGGTCCTTGCCAACGATGTCTGGAATAAAAGAAAAGGACCTTTTCATGTAAAAAAATTAAGTATTACAGGCCTTGCGCTAACTTTTTTTTCCTGGCTAGCCCACTGGGCTAGTTCAATGGATATTTTACTAGCCCGTTTAGAGTTTTACTAGCCCTTGTATAAATACTTTTAAAAACCCAAAATTTGTTATCAGCTCACCAATAAAGAATTTGACATTTCTGAAAATAAAAGGCTGACGGTATAAACAAAGAGGCATGTATGTTAGTTAAACATCACTTGAGTCACTGGTAACGGAGTTGGGAACAAAATCACTTCTTTGCTCCATCTTTCCGCTCATTTGGGTCGCTTACATTAGGCAAAAATTGCCACTTTTTCCTTACTTTCTGATATTATATTGATAGATTGATTTATATTGAATAGGTGTATTTATTTTGATCCAAGTTTTAACAAGTAGGCTTATTCTGAATTTTTCACTAGCCCACCGGGCAACCAAGGAACCAAGTTTAGGTAGCCCGGAGCATTTTTAGCTAGAATTTGTACGCTGGGCTAGTACTATTTCGAGGCCTGTATTATGATAAAACCAAGGCTGAGGTTTTTTCAGTATTTAACCCTAAAATTGTGGATTTTTAGAAATTTCGCTCCCATTTCTAGACTGTCCAAAAACTAAGTGCACAATTTACACGCATAATCCTGATCTTTTAGGAAAGAACCCTCCCCTTTTTAGCTATTAAAATCCCAGAAACGTCATAAGTATTCACTGTTACAACCCCAGCAAGACTCAAAGTGAGCGATGAACACCTGCATGCAAATTGTTTGATATCAAATGCTTCCTCTTACATGTGCTGTTGAGTGGGACCCATCCAGCAATCTTCCAACTCCTAATCAAACATTGGAAGTATACTTCCGATGCACTAGTGTTTAGTATTTCCCACTGTTTTCCAACTGTCAAAAGTTACTGGTCAAGGCAGCGTCTTGTGTCTGCCCATGTTTTGAGTATGGGCCTTGGGCTGGACCAAGAGAGGGCGCTACTTTCTTAGCAACAGAGGCCCCTTTGGACGGAACTGAACTTTGCTGGTTCATAAATGAAATGCATGCATCACAATTGCATCACTACCAGCAAAGTGAACACTCCCACCAACGCGGCTCTTTTCAACCGATGAGGGGGTGCTTCTGCTCAAGGGGAATAAATAGTCAAATTCTTTTCACTTGATGTAGACAATTTCAAGCCAGGTGCTATTGATGGAGACCATTGCTTTATGACAGACAGAAGATCTCCTGACCATGACAACAAATGACATGTTACTGTAAAAAAACAAATTATTAATGGAAACCGAGTTCTGCTTCCACCCCTTACAAAGCCAAGTGAACGGGACATTACAGTTGAGACAATGGATATCACATCATAATGAAAGTTTCATTATCGTTGTGTGCCCGCAAGAGGGTCGTAAGCACTTAAGACCTTTTGCCGAGAAGCATAATTGCCACCAAAAAATTTTTTCCGGCAAAAGGACGTGTGTATGCAACTGTTTTATTTTAATGAAATATAAAGATTTCTCTGCAAATAGTTCCAAACAATTTCCCAAGTCGTTTGATAAGTTGTTCAAAGGTTGCTTTTCGTACAGCCTGTGTTATTTTGTAGTAAATTTTATCCGTTTTTACTTAATAAAAAAAGTGTGTTTCTTATGCGCTTTTACCAGGAACATTTTTCTATTGTGATCATGCTTCCGGGCAAAAGGGCGTAAGCGCGCTTACGACCTTTTGCCGGGCACATGACAATATATCAACATCAGACATACTATTTTAAAGTGTTTGGTCCAGTGTCATATTTCAGTCCATCATAAGTCCATGTAAGTCCATCACAAGTCATCCAGCTATTCACAAGCTATTCAAATGAACTGTGACAACAGCATTCCTTTTGTCCTTGTTCATCCTGTTACTCATGACTGGCCTTGTGATGGGACTTGTGAAAGCACTTGTGATGGACTCGAATATGGCATTGGTTTGGTTGTACCTTCTAGCCAAAGCTTGCATTCCAACATCTCATCCTGGAGGTCAGAGATCAAGAGATGACTGGGCATGCTCAGTATCACCATGGAGACGGCAAACATCAGGGCTTGCCGCACGAACCTGGTGTGTTTATCAAATACATTACAGTGGCAGGTTGACAACGGCGAAAATGGTTACAGTTTCATCTTATTGGTCATGCCACACGTTGCCCCCCAAAATCACCATATATGGGGATGGTAGGATGAACAAATTATTTGACCAAATTAGTTGACCTCTAACTCGTGTTATATGCTCTAGTGGCTCAAACTTGATATAAAAACAAAACTTAATTGGTGCCGGGAATGTTAAAGTTTACCACTTACACTTCAGTGTGGTACCTCAGAGTCCAGACTAACTCCAGTAGACTGACTGCCATTTGTCTGCAAATCTAATGAGCGATGAGTTACACATAGAGAAAACTTGCTGTTGTCAACAAGAATTTTTCTGGAGAAGAAAATTACAAATGAATGCCAGCACGATGCCAAGAAAAGATTAGTAAAACACACAAGATCCATTCCCAAAGTTCCTTTCTGTGAGAGCTCCACATGCTAATAGGCCTTTGGCAGCACGAAAAGTAAATGTTTCATTTATTCTAGCGAGGACGAGTACTTTTCTTTTCACCGCTTCCCTCTCGGATCTATTAAAACCCACTGTGAGGTTCATAAGGATTTTTCAGAATTGAGGAAGAGCGCAACCACGGGACTCGATGACCCTGGAAAGTTAGATTGCAAAGAGCGTGTCGCCGCGTTCCTGAATGGGGCAAGATTTGTGGAATTCAGGAAGGCTCCAAGCTTAATGTCTGAGGAGATAATCACTGGAGAAATAGGGCAAACTGCAACAAGCAAACAATCAAAACTGTGCGCTTGTGTAGGCCAACAAATCTATTACTTGCAATGTACTTGTTTACATATCAGGTTAAACATTGATAATTTTATGTGCACAAATCAAACGGCCTGTGCTGGTACGGTGGCCTTTGTCTGGCATTGAAAGTAGCTTCACAGTGTCCTCGGAACCACTTGTACAATTACTTCGGTTTAAATGATAAAAATCCAGGAAAAAACTTTAACTTCACATAATGCATAGTACTGACCGGTGCATGTTGGGCAGCGTGTACCACAATGCCAAGGGTGTAGAGCATTCTACCGAGGAGTAGGAAGTCATCACCCATCATGTCCATGGTGTTGAGATTACTGTGAAGAAGAAGAAATAGTGAACAAAAAAACACTGAAAGATAAGTGGATAGAGATAGATTGGGCAGTGCAGATACGCAGAGTCAACAGCATTCAGGCGTGGCATTGGGGAGTCAGGGGAAAATCACAAGGAAATCCCAAACCACTTTGAAAGTTTTTTTTTCAATTTGAGATAGCATGCATGTGAATTAAAAAACAACAGGAAGAAATCAAGGGATCTATGGGAATGTGACATGCCGCAGTACTCAACTAAAGAAAATTATACTGTGTTATCCAAGCTGTGTATTTTATGACAGAACTGGACTGGAGAAAACGTACACGTAGGCTAAAAAGTCATTGCAATGCTTTTGGCATTATCCCACATTAGGAAGTTAGAGGATTAGCGATCCAAATTCAAACTCAAGTTTACCTGTCGTAGCTCTTGAGAAGCGGAAAGAAGAAATAACCGGCAACAGGGGCAAACCTACTGGCGATGGGGATAGGAGCTGGGGTACTCCTTCCCTGCAGAACAGAAACCAAGGACGAAACAAATCACAGTGACATTTTGTGTCAGGGAGTGACACAAAACTAGTTTTTACAAAAACGCCATCATGAAACCTGACCAAACTGATTTGAAACTGGTCAGCTGCCCTGGGCAAAGTTTAAGTGGTAGAGAAGCTACGATGTCTGCACTAGCACTGCAAGCAGGGGGATTGTAGGTTCAAGTCTCACTCTCAGGTTTGTGAATTCTTTCTCAAATGGCTCTCAGATGGAACTGAGCATACAGTTCTCGTAATCACTCAAGACCAAAACATGATACGGAGCACAGGGCACAAAAGTGTAGTATGAGCCATCCACCTACATCAATAGAAACATAACAGAAAAAAGATAATATGGTCACAATTCACATAATTCTCTTTCTCTTCTTGAAAATGGTCTGTAGCCTTTCTTGCTCCACCCCTGAATATTACAATCCTCAAATCTCAACCTCTGAAACTCTAAGCCTTACAATTTGAAAGTAACAGATGCAGTCGTGCTGCCATTTGTGATGTGATCTTGGACAATCTGCTGGTTGTCGCCAAACTTGTTTTGAAGACAATAGCAAAATAATCTCCAAATTGTTCAGTGGACAATTTGAAACCCTGTTACATTCCAATTGTTAATATCCACATTGTCAATTTTGAAAATCTAAAATAAAGATTCTACCATTTTGATTGTAAAACCATGACAGATGACAGATAATTAAAACAACTGCCTTCTTTTTTTCATTTGCATCATTTTTTTTCAAGGACAGCGATGGTTGTGTACATCAAAGAACCTGACTTCCTGCAGGAGAACTCAGGTTAACCCCTTTGCGCCGAGACGCGAATATAGCCGCCGTAAAAATTGAGATCCTTAGCCGCTTTTCAGCTATTATTCTCGGCCCGTGCTCGAGCGAACCTGGTGAAAGAAGGCAGACACTGGCTCGTGTATATATGGTAATTGGTCTCTGTGCATAGCCCAGAAATGAAAAGACCGAATTTGCATCATAATCACAAGCTTCACAATAGTCCCCACTTTGAAAAGAGGCAACAGGAATGTGGAAGCTTGAGTAGAGACACATGCCACCGAACAATCAGCCTTTTCATCGTGTAATTCAAAGCGAGCAGAGCATGCAGGGCCACAAACAGGAGGCCTTCATGACCAAGCGAGGCTGGAATTCTTGGAGTCGGCTTTCGGGAAGAAATTCCCGTCGTCAAGGGGTTAAAGACAATGCAAAATCATAATTTAAACAATTTTGAAAAAAGGCACAGTGTCCCTATTAATGTGATGAATATTTCATGTAATTATGACAAATTTCACCACTTGAGGAGCTGAGAGCTTCCTTGATCACATGACCATGATCGCATTTCATAATGGTGCTCAGTGTTCATTGCTTTTACATGCAAACAGCTTTGAAAAAGAAAACGTCGATGGGCACAGGAAAAAAAATACCCACTTTAGCAAATCGCCTGGTCTTGCTCTCGATCCTTTTCTGTACAATATCCCTCCAATGTTCCGCCTCCTCCGAAGGGTTTGGTGCAGCCTGGGTCAAAGGTCGGCGTGGTTTCTGAATACCACTACAGGGCGCCGTTGCTTCCAGGGGTTGGGAAAGTTCTTGGGCTGCAGCCGCAAGGACCTAAAGGAAATGATATGCCATTACGATCCAAAACAATCATTTGGAACTGCACTTCTGTTCTGACTGACGGAAATGATCTGTTACTGTTTAGTCATTTTTGAAGGAGACCTCTTTACAAATATAATCCTTACCTCCAGCACGTCCAGCCTCTGTCTGATGTTGTAGTTTCTGTCGTAGAACTCAGTTGTCAAATATTGAGATGCCTAGAGAAAGTCAAAATTCGTGAAATTACACCTGGAAAACCTGACATGAAATCAAAGACAATAAGCAACTTTCGCCAGTGTTAACCTCATAAATGACCTCATAGCAATTAATATGAATTTGGACTTGTTCCAGAGACAAAACTGAGCCAAGATTTGATTAACTGAACGATCCAACCCACTGTCACTCACTTACTGCTAAACCGTCATTAGAAAATCTTGAACTAAGGTATTATATTTGGCTAATGTACTTTCCATCTATGGTATATCCTCATAGTCATGCTTATTAGAGCTTTTATATGAAGTGTATGTCAGAATAGTAACGACTTAAGTCAATACTGGATTTGAGTCTGACTCAAATTGCAATTTTTGGCGACTAAACTCAACTCGAGTCCCGACATACACATGACTTGATACAAGTCACTGTGAGCAAATAACTCAACTCAAGTCACAAAATTTAATGACATGTTACAACTTTGGTGTATGTCCTCAATTACCTGGATTGGACATAGTACAGTTGCAGCTACCATCGCCGAGTGCCTCAAGACCATGAAGTCATCAATCTCATAGATATCCTCTAGATGCAGAAGAACCTGCAGGAACTCTACACAAACCTTGGGAGAATGGCATTCAAATAAGATTAAAGCTGTTTGAATACGTGATCAGTTTTTAACATCACAGGCGTCAAATACTATCATTCCTGAACTCAGCATCAGAGTAGGGCAAACTTTATCCCAAAGTTTTGGCACTGAAATATAGAGCCAGTAGCTCTGTCTGATTCAACTTCTTCTCAACGGTCCATTTTCTTAAAAATACCTTCAGCCAAACTCTTGGTCTTAGACTACATTGTTAAAATAAATTAAAATCCACCAGCAATGCCAGGAAAAGAATAGAGGCTTTGCTTGGTAGCCATCTTGCAGGGCAGTTCTTTTGTCCACAGGGAAACCTCCTTTGTGCATACCTGGGGGAACAAAAGAACTGGCTAACAAGATGGCAGCCATGCAAACCCTTTATATATCAAGCTTAGAAGACACCATATGCATAAATCTGCAGTTCCTTGTGTGTTCTATGCCCCTCTATCATGACACACCTCTGGCAAGTTGTCTGGTTTGCTCCTAGCAAGTTTCTCAGCCACTTTCAGACTGGTCTCTGTCAGTTCACGATTCTCTTTAGCATGCAAACCTGAAATGGTTAAAACAGAAAAACGATGCTTTGATGAGCTGACCTTAATCAAATCAAATGGAAAATCAAATGGAAAATCAAATCAAATGGAAAGAATTTACAACAGTACAACATCAGTATTTGTAGTCTAAAATTTACAAGATCAGACACAAGACCAGTCACAGGTAACACGGTGAAACTGACAGAGCCATGCTTGTGCTGCAGCTCATTTGAATAACTTGTTGAATGCAGTCAGATTGTAGGTCTTGCGATGGTCTTGCGATGGTTTTGTGACAGTCTTGCGATGGTCTTAAGTGGTCTCAGATACGACACTGGAATCAATATGCCTAAGGCTCATAACCCAGAAATGTCATGACTGGCTATGTTGACTTACATCCCAAAGCATTTCAGTGGCAGATGCTACCTTCACTGACTTCTGAAATAAACAAGAGTGTCTTGGCCTGAGACACATTTCGACACCGTCAAACATATTTGATTTGATGAGGATGTAACACGCACTCTGAATGACCCACCCTCAATGCAGTCCCTTATGTACATGGGCGTCTGGACTTGAGATGTCTTGACGTCCTCCGACATATCGTATGGCTCCAGATCATCGTCACTGTATGGAATGAAATGAACAAATTGTGTTAGTTATGAGCTGATCTGTAACCCTCAAGATGGCAGTAACAGCCTGACTACTAACCCTCTGTAAAAGTGCTCATACAATAACACTAGTTACTTCTCTTGTGACATGAGTTTAGTTGAAGAACTGTGATTTTTACGCAACCAGTAGAGAATATTTTTCCCCTGTGAAAAAAGTAAGACTACGCTGCATTTCCTTATCTCGTTGGTAACAAGAAAGACACACTCAGATCAAAAATTTTACTTTTTTTTTTTGAAAATCTACCTAGTCTTGCAACTTAGTCAAAATTCACAGACAATCTTGGATAATTTCAAGACACTATGCAAACTTGAGCTTTCCAAATCATAACCTCCACCATATCTCATCTGAGACGGTCTAAGATGATCACAGGCTGTTGTTATGATGCTACCCACCTGTCCAGGTCATTGTCTTGACTGGGGTGCAATGGAGACACATTTTTCTGCTCTGACTTTCCAAAGGCAGCGTTTTCCCTCTTCCTCTCTTCCTCACTGAGAGACATCTCAACAACGTCTCTACACGGGAAGAAATAAAAACATAAAAAATCACAAGAACTATAACAAATCACACTTACCTGGTGATAGGAACTACTGGGAAATGCATAGTTGAGAATAATTTTCTGTGCTTCATTACCCTTCACGAGAACACAAGACAAGCCTAACTTTGTAACATGTTAGCTCATCAATTTGCTTAATATACAATGTTTTGCTCAGCAAACTGGTTAAGGCTACCACTCTACTGGTATCTGCTTAGCCAGTATATTCACCTAACAATAGTTTCCACTTAGCTCCTCTAAGATATTGATCTAGTTAACATATATAATGCTTACTTTGTAATCTCCTCTATCCCAGGGTCTTTAGGGGGCACCAAGAGTGACCACAGCAGTCGACTCTCCTCGTCCTTCTCGTACTCGAAAGTCAGCTTCGGTCCCTCTGCCTCCAATGTCTTGGTAAGAGCCTCGGCTGCGATCATTCCTAGTCGGCGCACTTTGTGCAGGGGGCTGTTCAGGTGGCACTGCATTCCAGACAGCAGCTTCTGCATGAGAACTGCAAATGGGGTCCAGGTACAAGATGAGAGAACTTATGCTTGGCAGTTGGAAATAGTGGATGGGAATGTAAAATCCTAGAGAAGTGAAAGAAATTCCTTGAGATTTTGTGACGCGTAAAAATAAACGAAATTTGACAGAAACTAACAATGTTTTATACAAAAAGGATGCAATTCTGGATTCCAAGAAAAATACAAGGGTTTTATAGAACATGAAATACACGTATATAAGGGTTTTATAGAACACGAAATACATGTACATAAGGGTTTTATAGAACATGAAATACACGTACATAAGGGTTTTATAGAACATGAAATACACGTACATAAGGGTTTTATAGAACACGAAATACAAGTACATAAGGGTTTTATAGAACATGAAATACATGTATATAAGGGTTTTATAGAACATGAAATACATGTACATAAGGGTTTTATAGAACATGAAATACATGTACATAAGGGTTTTATAGAACATGAAATACACGTATATAAGGGTTTAATAGAACATGAAATACACGTATATAAGGGTTTAATAGAACATGAAATACACGTATATAAGGGTTTTATAGAACATGAAATACATGTACATAAGGGTTTTATAGAACATGAAATACATGTATATAAGGGTTTAATAGAACATGAAATATAAGGCTAGGTTCAAGTTTTTCTTACCAACACTAATTCTGGCAGTGCGACGTGGAAGTATTTTAAAATACCACAAAGTGCCTGATACTGTACAATGTTCCATGGCAGTGATTGGTCAAAAACTCAAGGGGCAGGAGTCTATTTCTGGAAGGAAGTTCCTTGTTCTGTGGGAGGGGTACCCCACTTCACTCTTGTTCAAGAAAATAGACTATTCACACAAAGCCATTTTTGATCATGTTCCCAGAATCTTAGTCACTGTTATCTGTTAAATAGGGTGATGCCAGACTATTTTTCCATGCCTCACTTTCATGTCTCACTTTATATAATTAATCACAAATTCTAAATTTTTATCAGCATAAATGACATTAATTTGTAATGAACTTTCATTTGTGGCATTCATTTAATTCTCAAATTCCCCAAACTACGAACTTAGCCTCGCCTTGAATTCAATATGGCCGACTCATGCATAAGATGAATGCAGGGACAGCTCTGGAAGGATTGCGATCTTTCTCGGAACAAGGTACCTGATTTGTGCTTTGCCTTCTCCTGCTGGTTGAGATGGCCTAGGCAGATGAGCATTACTTTGGTCAAGTAGGCATGCTGGTCATAGGCCGTGTGCTTGACGGCACTACTGTCTCCCCAGACATCCAACAAGGTCCTGAGAGTCTGAAATTGACACCAGCCAAAAAGATTACGAGAGAAAAAGATAGGGGGGGGGAAATGGTCAGAAACAGCCTTGTTGAAGAAGTTTTCAATGGTTACAAGTGGTTCATCACATAAATATTAGCTGGCTGTCTGCTTGTTTTACACATTTTGTTTTACAGTTTTCTATCCCAAGGAGAGGAGTCCAGGTGCAGTTGACTTGCTAGAAAAAAGATCTGCACAAGACAAATAGTACAAACTGCCTGAACAGTTTTAAAACAAAACTAAAATCTAGTTACTTCTGCTGGTCAACTAGAAATCTGATGCAGATATTAATTTTCACAACCTCCCATTCCTGACCCGAACAACCTTGCTTTGATACAGACATTTGTCATGACCAACATTTCCACATCCAAGACTTACTTTGACCACTAGGTGTCTCCTGTTGGGTGAGTCTGCTAAATAGCCGATGATATTCTGTGGAACCAACTCCTGACATCCAAAAAATTCATATGCGTAGTGAGAAGATGGCAAATAAACTAGTGCATAGCAAATTCCGACACATATCCAAAGAGGGTGCTTCAGAGGAAACTTACTGCGCTTCTTGAAAGAATTGGCAAATTTTGCTCGTGAGATCTTAAAGGATTTTGGGTGATGTAAAGCCGTCAATGTGTGCTCAGACTGTTGAAATTATATCAGAACCCGCACGAATCAGCTTTCTAGGCTGCTTTTTAAAATAATCTTCCAGACTTGATTTTGAGGTTTACTTTATGCAAAATATTTACAGTTTTGTCCACCTCAGCTCCAAATCAGGGATGCAGCAGTGCCTGTGAGATGCTTAAATAAACAGTCTGATTGCAATCTTGGGTCAGTGTGCAATCTCACCTGACTGTAGCATCTGAGGAGGAGGAACTTGTTAGTGAGCAAAAAGAGCAATTTCTTGTTGCTAAGCACCGCATCCCCCAGGAGCCTCGACACAATGCCATACCTTAACAGAGCAATAAGAAGGCTTAGAATTCTTGAACTGTTCAAATAACATCATTCAAATCTTTGTGAAAGTAAATAACACACACACACTGTATTCCATGCAAGATTCAGGGTTTTGTGGTCACAATCAATTACAATGGTTTTGCAAAGCTCCAAAAGTTTCTTTTTACGTTACCATGGTATTTTCTTAAGGAGGCTGTCCATGATGCTCTCCATGCATCTCTCTGGAGTACCAACAATGATACGAGAGCAGACACGACACCATAGGAAATCATCAGCCGTAAATTTGACAAAGTGAGGCAGAAGAAAGGATAATATGGTATCTGAAAAAGATAGGAAAACATGACTGATAATGACTAAAATCCGAACAACATCCAATCTGTATTTATGAAGATGAATTTTCTTAACACACAACCGTCTTTTGATCATAACGTGCCTTGTTTCACACAATGGCACTTAAGTCCAAAATTACCATTTGCTTTAAAATCTTTGAAATTCCTCCACTGAATTACTGGTGACATTCATTGAACTGAGCTTCTTTCAAAGAGTTCAATCTGCATAATGCAAAGATCTACGATCATTTAGTACTAACGGCATTAAATGCCGTTAAAACACTTCCCATCTTCTTTAAATACACCAGAATCTCAAAAAAACTAGTTCTCTTATAAAGCATTTATGTGTAATGCAAATATGTTAATTTGAGTAGTAACATGGTTTTGGCACATCGGAAGAGCTGATAAAACCACTGTTACTTCAGTTTGAGCACACAGCATGTCAATGTCTGTCATATTTCCTTCAAGGCTGTAAGGATTCTTCCTGTGCAGAGTCCTGAGGCAAGGACTCTATAAACGACTTTACCCACACTTCAAAGGTTTGTTCTGACCTGCGTGTCCATTCAGACATATCCTGCCTATCAACTGGCTTACAAACAGCAAGGAGCAGTCTTGGGTAGCTGAATGGAAGGAGAACACAAAATAAATATATAAATAATTTCATTTTGATGTCACTGATGTCCTCTTTGTTAATATTTCAATATTAGGGTTTTACAGAGATCATTAACTTTTTTCTACACACCTCTGGTTAGTGCTGCCAAAGGAAATAATTCTTGTTTTGAGAAAACCTTGGCATCATGGCTCACCTTTGAGTTGATTATACACTTTGTGGAGTACCACCACAAGATCTTTGGCGAGAGATGTGAAATATTGCTTGGGGTGAAAACTAATGCTGAAAATAATGTTAAGAAAAAAGAGCGTTCAAACATGCCATGATTCAACATCAAACATTCAATTAAGCACGTCATAGTCACAGCCCTGTGAACAAACAGTATGAAATGCACATTTAAACCAGGGCCAGGGCAGGATGGACACACTGTGTGCCTTTGGTTTTACTAAACCACAGAGGACCAGACATTGGTTCCCCTGTAGTCCGTCCAACATTCTCCCATAGACTAAGAGTTGAACAAAGGACTGACCACTTAGAGTGGGGAAAAATTCTTTACCTATTTTTACCACATATTTGTTATCGGGTTTATGGGGACGATACATGAGATGAAATGTACACTTTATGGGGGACCAAAAACATTATGGGGAGAAATTTTTGTCCCTACAACATGATTCCCAGTTTCCTTACAAATATGCTGCTAAGTTTTGTCTGAATGTGCACAAGCCCATAGCAGTTCTGATTAAGAGCCCAACACACATTAATAACAGGGGTGCCTTTCACAAATTTTTACACAAGAGCGAAAAGCTAAACAATGGTAGGCCTACTGAAGTTGAACACTAGAGGACTTGAATAAAATGAATACCAGATCAACTTATTAGAAAATATTAGAAACCTGCTTTTTAATACAAATGATCTCGTATCAAGTGCACCCTCATCAACCTCCATGTACCTGCACTTGTCTTGCATTCTGTTGGCTACTCTGTCTGGCAATGAGACTATCACCGTCAGGAGCTGTTCCCAGAGGACACGGTGTTTGGCTGATTGGGTCCCCGAGTCGGTGAGATCCGACAGGATGCAACACTGTGTCCAGATGATGTCAGTCATCCTGCCACGGAGGAGGAAGTCTTCCAGGAGAGACAGACACTTGTTCTGTTTGAAGCTCGGACTGTAGATTCAAAACGACAGTAGCTTTTTTCTTAAAGGGTATCTTACAGTGCATGACACCATATTTCAATCTTCTTTTTTTGTTCTTGAATAGTTTATTACTCCCGAGTTTATACTACAAAAAAAAAAAATCTGGGTGCTGAAGGCACATCGCATTTGCCCTATAAAAATTGTACATTATGTTGATAGTCTTCCAGTTTGTCAACATACTTCTAATAGGAGCAACAACAAGGAAGCAGTATTCTATGGTTGTTAATTTTTAATAAATTGTTTTGTTTTTTTTTTCCTCATTATTTCCAAAAGACCGACCTGCTCTGTGTGACTGCAGTGCACAGCACCAGAAAAGCATGATGGTGAACACCATCCAAGAAGAAGACATCAATCAAACTGTCTCGCTCCTCGACTGTAAACCGGCTGCACCAATCCAGGCTAAACTGACCGACCAGAAACTCTAAGAAGCGGACGTAGTGGCTGGCTCCAAACTCCGCCGCTGCTTCACTCGGTGTGCCCAGAGTGGTTACATTGTTCCCATTCCACCCGGGTAGCAGAGCAGAAATCCTCTCCAGGGCTCTGCAGAGTTCTGTGGAATCTCTGGACGAGGTGAGAATATTCTGCGATTCCCGCACTGTTTGACGCACTGATAATTTAGTATCAGCCATGGCGTAATCACAGTTGACAAATTCAAAGTCAGTCCTTTGAAATGAAAAAAAGCAAAATGTTTCCTTATTTGCATTATGTAAGACGAAAAAGAACTCTGTGTCTTTGTTCCTGATTTTAAGTAAACTTTAGAAATGGCAGTGAATGGTGTGCGTGTGACAAACATGCCTTGCAAATGCTGCAAATTACATGTCAGAATATTTATGATGAAATCTTATTTGCAATACTTTCAGTGATCGTGAAGCACTTATTCTTTTTTATGGGGGCTATTCAGCTTTACTTTTTGATGACAGCGCGAAACTGTTGTGTCCGGAAACTGGTCAACCGTCAAGCAACGCCACACTATGCCCGATGCTGAGCCTAATTGAGGCCGTGTCGTCTGCTCAGCTCAACCAGATTTACTTTGACAAATTTAACGATTAATGACGGTAAGCAATATTATGGTGGTAACAACTAGTTACTGGGTTGGTCATGGTCTTATTCCTTGACAAATTAGTGAATGAGATACAAAACACAGTTACTTGGATAGGAGTATTTAACACAACTTACGTTTCGTGTTTCCAACTGAGCCACGGCCACGAGTTAGCTGAGATACTGTGGGGCGCCCTCTGCTGGCCATTAATAGCATAAAATTAATGGCACGTGCGTTGGCGACTCCAAGGTGAAAAGTATATTGAAATCAATACATAATTATTTCTTTGAAGTCAAAAAGTCGATGATAAGGGTAGGTTCGCCGCAGTGGAGATTTCATTTCGTAAATACTCTACACGCGTTTGACACATGCATCCAAGCCGTTGGATAGACAAGGATTGATCAGTTTCGAGCACACTGAAAGTGATGGGGAAATATAGGGAGAAATACCGATGGAAAATATCCCTTGTTAGAATCTGCGCAATGTGCGGTAAGTTTGTTGTCCATTTTACCATTGATATCTCATTTCAGGCATTTACAGAATTCGTGTCATTTGTAAAGCCAAAAAATAATAATAATAGGGTCAACAGAGTTTTTATTGATAGGAAAAACTGGACCCACGTGTGTTACAAATATCCCATGTTGAATAGCCCTTCCGCCGAACTTGCACGCTGAACTATCTCCTCCTCTGAAATACTTTACACAACAACAACGAGAAAAGTTGACAGTGTTTATGAAAATAGCTCATTTAGATTACTATCTTGTGGGTTCAAAAATCTTATTATTTGCTAGTTTTCCTCATAGCCGAGGCCGAAAAAGTATGGGCAAAATGGAAGGCTAAAATGATACAAGGGATAGTTCCTTTGCCTTTTCCTCTGTCCTAGTTTTATTTCCTTTCAATTTCAAAACAATTTTCAAAATTTTAAAAATCTGTATCGCGGACAGGTCTCATTGCCGGAACAAAGGCACAGTGCTTCGTCGGGAACGAACCGGACTCAAGAGGGGGCGCAGCCTGGGTGATGCCGACACGAGACCCGTGCGTGTGCCGAGGAAAAGCGCTTTCGCTCGGTGGGCTAAATATCAGGCCTTTAACTCGACCGTTCAAGCCGACCTACATCAACCTGTCAGATATGACGACATCGGCTCGTTCGAGTCCAGCTTTTACTGGGTTGACAAGCTGTCCTGACAAAATACGTGAGTATTTTCAATCAGAACTGTAACTTTTGTAAGCTATAGGCGTTTGAAGAAAGAGCGAAATATGGTCACCTAAAAAGGAAACAATTCATGTAACTTTGCCCTTCCACAATCCATATTTTGATCTAGGCCTATACATTTCCTCGATGACGTTCTATCGATTTTTATCTCTTTACTTTAAGTTAAATTTCACAGTAAGTTTACCACCAAGGTGACCGTTTATATAAGTGACAAAGATCGCCTGGCCACAAGACTTAATTCAATTTAAATTAGTCAGCGGCAGTGATGATAACGACAAAAACGTTCCTCAAGGATTTTTTTTAGCTCGATTTAAAAATCAATAATACTACTGGCGTCAGAATTTTACTCGACCTGATGGCCTGATTAATTTTCGTTTACCAGTTTTGTTGAGCTTTTTAAAAACTTTTGATATTATTTTAAATGATAGGGAACATTTGGACAGGAAATAATAGGTTTTCCCAATCAGTTATTTTGAGAAATGGATGCACACATTCCTTGGCATGATACCTTAATTTTTACCCCGAATATTGTCTGGCTCAATCCTAATGACGATTCTAAAAAATAAATTAATAAAAAACAAAAATAAAGCAAACAGAGAAAACGAACATTCCGTTATAATCATGTGGCGATTGCAACTTGTGTGGAGATTGCCATCAATGCCGACATGGCATTGAACACAACCCCATTTTTATCATTATTATTTTAGCACTTTTATCATTATATTTCCTTTCTGGTAATGTGAATCCCGGGTGGATCATTTTTTTTGTAAGAGAGAGAGAGAGAGATGAGATAAGAGAGAAAAAAATCGGTCTTTTATATTTCCTTTCCTTTCAATGGCGAGTAAAAAAACCCGATCGATGTTGACTGCCGATTATTTGACTTATTTGTGTGAGGGGGTGGCATGTAGGGGTGGATGTCATTCATTGTAAATCGTTAAGCAATCTGATAGTTATCAATACATTTCTGTATTTGATTTGCAGAATGTCATAAATTTGACAATGTGTCTGACGAGGTGTATCGCTATGAATTTGCGAAGCTCCCAAAGTTTCCTGGCGATAAAGTTTTGGTAAACTTCTCCGTTCGTGCCCAGAGTGACGTGTACATCTCACTAACCAGTCAGAACAAAGACGTGAATGACATGTACGAGATAATAATTGGTCGGTTCTATGGTGTGAAGTCAGCGATTCGTCGGTGTAGCGAATGCAGTGACCTGGTTAGCGATTTCAAGGTAGCAGGCAGGCTACTAGACCGGTCCGAGTTCAAGCACTTTTGGGTGAGTGCAATCCCGGGCAAGCAGCCGCCTGATCAGGATGTGGAGAGGAGTACGCTGATCGTCTCCGTCGGATTGGGTTCCGAAGAAGCCTTCATGACCTATGAGGATTCCTCCCCGCTTTCCGTCGAGTACTTGGGATTCAAGCAGGGTGACAACACTCTCGGAAGTTACGAGTTTTGCGGTCTAGAGTTGCGAGAGTAGGTTGTTTCAATCAACGAGGAATCGCAGGCCATGTGGCACTCAATGCTAAACTTTACGCCGAGCAAAAATCTCCGAGCAGAACTCACATCAGACCCAGCTTGAACACATAATTCATGACTTAACCTCCTGTTTGGGCTGAAGTTCAACTAATCTTTAATAATAGGGTGAAAAGTACAGTATCAAACCTTTTTTTCTGATTACCTCAGCTGTCAAAATTTATGAAACTGGCCGTGGTCATTGTTGCCGTTTATCAAAAGGGTGTGGTCAATGGTCATGATTTCCAGACATGAGCATTCCATCGGAACCTTGTTTTGAACAGTGTACTCATGAGCCAACTTAAAACCCCATGATGTAGGCCTAGTAACTGCTAAAACATTCTACCGTGCGCTTCTGTATCACTAAAACTACTATAATTATTCATAACTTCGTATTATTGTTTATTCGGCCGTTTATCAGATAATATCATGATGTTGTGTTTGTGGATTTTTTACCTTGTTAGTTGCCGTCGTTCAATTTACAGTTGCAAAATTCCAAGTAACCTGTCGGGTGACTCTATCGGATGGCATTTTATCCTCAAATAATTAGTTGGTCCATTTTGGTGATTAGTTTTAATGAAAATGGAAAATAAATTTATTCAGAAATTGAATTCCTGGAACCCAACGGTGCGGGAAGCGATTAATGCCTAATCAATGACGTAATTGCCGAGGTCGTTAACAACCCACTAGGNTTTTTTTTATGCTATACTTCAATAATGGTTATAGATTTTGTTCTATGCCCTGAAACTAGTCAACCCTAGAAAAGCAAGGGGGTGTACATTACCCCGAGGACACACTGTTTTTTTGATTGCCTTTTTCGTATCCTTTTCTTTCTTTCTTTCTTTTTTTTGGTGGTAAACAGAAGGAAATACCAAAGTACGGAATAAAAATATCATTTACGAATCGAAGTCAGCCATCGTTCTGTCTCAATGGATCGGTACATTGTTGTAGTCGAGACCCCATAAGACCTTCACAAGACGCCACGATACCACCACAAGACCAACACAAGATCTTCAGTTTGAACATCAGTTCACAAGCTATTTAATTGAACTAGAACAAAAGCATTCCTTTTTTGTTTTTCACCCTGTTACTTACAAATAGTATTATGAATGGCCTTTGGCAACATCTTATGTCTAGTCTTCTGGAAGGTCTTGTGAGGGTCTCGACTTCAAACCTAGATTCGTAAAGGAGAAATTGACAACAGACTAAAAACCTTTACAAAAACTGACGTTTTTCTGGGCCATGCATTTATGCAATACAATGCCGACAGATAAAGCACCACTCTATTGGGGCCTATTGGATCAAGAACTTGTGCTGTGCGGATGTTGACCAACTACTTATGAAGGGAACTAAGAATTTAAAACAAAATTCACTCCTGCAGACGTCTCGAATAATTTTCATGGGATTTTGGGATATGCATAATATCTCCTCCCTGCATGCGACCGTGAGGCGCTCATAAACCTAATGGGCGTGGGCAAGCGTTCACTGTGCTAAAAGCGAGCGCGTCTCGCTAGAATTTTGACTGCATCCCAGATAGGAAATGGTCAGGTAGCATATGGGAATAAAAAAATTTGTGAAATCCCCTGCGATTGTCGACGTTGTATTTAGTCAAATGGGTGTCCCCCAATTTCATTTGCCATGATGGTAATAATCCGACTCCCTCACTCCTCCGATCCGAGATCTGTGACAACTGTTACTTTGAGGATGAGGTGGATTTTGGGAAGACGACACCAGTGGAGGGTCGGACGGGGACAAGCAGATGACATAATCCGTGGGGCCGGGAATAGTTCGTCTGTAAACGTTCCGTCCACGGCCTGCTGCAGCAGAGTCGCGCGTACCGCGTGGCATGCCTAACCGGGGTCGGTCCAAATCCTGCAGAGAGCGCCACCAATAGTCAACCTCGTCATACATGTGTGTTCACCATAATACATGTACATGTACTAAATTAGCTACTAGTACGGGCGCGTACTAGAGCATGTTTTAGGCCTAAAGTGTGTTCAGTTCTGTGTCCTTGCTCTGGCCCAGAGTCTGGGTGTTCTAGGTAAGGATCGATGATTTTCATTTCATTTTAACAAGAGTGTCTGCCAAAGAAAATACCATGTTTATCGATTTCAGTGTAGGCCTATTTTCTAAGGCGGTCATGCATCATGACGTGCTCCGCAAGACTGGTTTCAATATTGGCTTAGCCAAAAGCCTAGGGTACTATCAATAATTTAATTTTAGCCTACCCCCAGAGCTGTGGGGGTTCATTACCTTTAGCACCCTGTCAGAGAACAGGGCTTTTGGTTTTTGAGAGAAATTTTTGGGTAAAACGGCAGCGTGCATGACTGCCCCAAAGTGGGCTGTGAACAACAAATAAGTGAATGTAGTCTGCTTCCTTGACCTGGATGGACATTTCTTTTGTTGAATCCAAAAAGCCTGACTCGGGTAACCAGACGAAAAAAAAATGGCGTCATTCGACTGAGTGGTCAGGTGGTTGTCTTTTGCCAAAGTCGGGTTAAAAATTTGAAAGTTTCTTGCTTAAATTTTGTCACAAAATTTACCTAAACTAGGTCTATCAGGATTGAGTAATGGTTCCTTAAGTTCAAAATGTTAGTTAGTTTGAGAAAGTGGACTTTGTGTCCAGGGTGCTAATGGTAATGAACCATTGTGGGAGAGGAGTGGACATCGGACCCCACAGTTCTGGGGGTAATTTTAGCCTAGGCCTACTTCCTATCTGACATGTCAGATGTCTCACGCCAAGTGACGGACTGACATTGCCATTTGCTTCACCTACATGTAGGCATTTGTGTAAAATATAGGGATATTGGGATCCTGTTCCTTGTTTTAACTAGTACTAATAGAAGGGAGACATACGTTTAAAAGTTTGGATTACCAAGGTCATGAAGGTAGGTTACTTCCAGAACTGTAGATGACTGTAACTTAGTGTAAGGTTGATACAAACTTATTTCTCCCATAAACACATTTTGGCTGTTTTAATTGTGACAACTTACCATTCCAGCAGTAAGTTCCACCCTAGCTATTTGTGCAACCAAATTTATGCCTTCCTGGTGAAGTTAGATGTCAGATGGGTAAGTTTATTCACCTTATATCCTCATTAAGATGATGAAATTCAGAAACAGAAAAACAGCAGCATCTCTGAGCACTGTCAATAACTGTCAGCTGTTTGACATCTTGACTAATCGCAACACAGCTCTTATCTTTTCCTTTTGTTTTCCTGAACCCATCCAAATGAAAGCTGAGCTATGATTGGTCATTGGAATGGAAGCAAATTGGACCAATCGCAGTGTGCTTTCATCTGTGGGTGACAGGAAAACAAAAGGAAAAGATATGAGCTAGATTGCGATTGGTCAAGCTGTCAAACTGCTGACAGTTACTGAGAGTACATGCTCAGTGATGCTGCTGACTTTCTGTAGTGTGGACGGGCAAAATGCTCAAGAATTTCACCATTTTAATGAGGATATAAGGTGAATNGGACCTCCCCATCTGACATCAAACTTCACCAGGAGGGCGTATATGAAATTTGGTTGCACAAATTGGTCTGATGGAAGGGTAAGTTGTCACAATCAAAACAGCCAAAATGTGTTTTGGGGAGTTTGTACATTGCTATCTGGAAGGGTTGCATAAACCTTACAGTGCTTGAAGTAAAGGTAGATGATGGTCAAGTCAAATTTGTATTGCTGGTTCATCAGTAAAGAAAGTCACATTTTCTTCCAATTTACAATTCAAAATTTCCAAAAATAGGGTCAGCGCAATAAAGAGAGCATTGTCTTTGGTTTGTTGGAGACGGACCAGCTTTGCAAGATTAAAATGACAAAAAACGGTGGGTTCCCAAATACACAATCCCCAAAATGTTGGCCTGTGTGGAGTATAGGCATGGTACCTGTAGGCATGGTGACTTTGTTTCTGTCCTCATTCATGACTTTCATCAGGAACAGCATTGTGACAACTTCTACAGCATCCATGAAACAAGAATGGAATCCAGAAAATCAACGCACAGTAGTCATCATGATCGTTCCCATGATAGACGCAGGCACAAACACAGTGAGCGTGAACGACAAGATGAAAGACGCGACAATGTGAAAAAGACTTCAGATTGTAGCCATAAAAGCAGACATTCGAGGAGCCACAAAGGGGACAGGAGTAGTGACCCCAGACATAGAACCGAGAAGTACCATGACCAGAGTAGGGTGTACCAACATTCGAATGATGACGGGGAACGAGAATCATACTCCCACTCAGAATCATACTCCTACTCAAGCTCCACGTATCGTAGCAGGGACCCAACTAGGCCTTCATCAAGGAGAGAAGATGAAACAAGAACTGAGACAGGACGGCGATCAAAAGATGGCAGAAAAAGGACGTCCAAAGCCTGGAGTTACTTTGGCTACACTGCAGACGACATTCCTTTGCCAGACGAACATGACAAATCAAGCAGGAACGTTGAGCCTTCTGGCAAAAACACTGACACAATCACAGACCGAAACACAGGGGGACTATCGGCTAGAGCTCATCAAGACCGTGGATACAGATCTTTGGGGATGCAGGGCTCAAGAGCTGAATCTGACAGGTGTCCTGATGAAAAGGCTGAAACTGCTAGGGACAGTGATGGTATATTTGACTGGAAGAGGCACAGACGAGAGCTGGATGCAATATTTTTTAGGGACGACAGTATTATCCAAAGGTACGTAGTAGACTTTTTTTTACTGATTGAATAACAAGAATTTTTAGAGAAAATCTTGTTTTTGAGGTACACATTATATTGTGTAGAAAGAGAAATGAGAAATTCTTTGTAGAGTTTTTGATGACTTCTTTAAATGAAGATTTTCAGTGATAAAAGTGCCCAAGTAAAATTTGCAGAATATTTGTCTAGTTTGCATTTTTTTTGCATGGTGAGAGTGGAACAAATCTATCTGTTACTGTGTTCTTTTTAGTTTGGATGAGAGTAGGGATTATCTCAAATGGAAAATGGACTTTTGTAGAGAAGAAATTAGTTTTCTGGCATAAATTTAGAATGTTTACTGTTAGAAAGATTTCTTTACTTTTCATATCCTTCACTGCATTTGCTTGTTTTGGAAAAAAAGTCAAACACTCGAATTGATAGTGAGCCGTGCTTGTTCATATAATTTGATTGAAGAGGTGCATAATGCAAGATTGTTTTTTAATTTCCCCCTACAATTAACCAAGGAAATCGGAAGATTATCAGGATTTCTGGAAGTTTCTTGAGCGCTACCAAGCTTTTCAATTCAAACAGAGTGCCCGACAGCCCCACCAAGGTAAATATAAACAATTTGATTATCAGCACTGGCATTATCGGCAGTTTAGTTACTAACAGATTGTGATCTGCATATTTGAAGTATTCTTTCACTTGAAGTGTCATTTCTTTCTAAAATTGCCTTGATTCTTTTTCAGACAAGAGTGACGCGGATGACAAAGACGGCTCTGCCAAATCTGCAGTTTTGGGACTGCCGCTGAAATATGACAAGAGACACCGCATCAATATGGCACTAGACCTCAGGGGAGTAGAAGAGGCCGAGAGAAGATTGGAATGGTTGACCAGCAGTCAAGGTAATACTGAAAAGGTTTGGTAGTACTACACCTGTCCTGTCCGGGGTTCAAAGATTGTATTTGCAGAGAAAAACCTCACAATACTGCTATTTCAGGATTTAAGGCTAGATCATCTCAGCCTTTACCCAAACTCTCCAAGAATTTCAAGTTTCAAATCTCCATTTACGTACATCTTCTCCTCTTTGAGACAAGCAGTATTTTTGCCAGTTTTTTACTTTTGCATTTCTCAAGAGTTATCTTTTTTAACCTTTCCAACAGATGATGAAGATGAGCTGTCCACAGCACGAATCAAGGAATTCAGCAAAGTCTTGCTCTATTACATGGACTTCTGTCAGAAGCAACAGGTAAAAACAACATTCAGTTTCCAACCTTCCTTTTCCTTACGCCCGATTCTGCCGACCCATTTGTCAGTAATTGTTTGCAAGGTTCCATCTGAAGTCCTCTCTCATTTCGAAAAGATTCACTAACAGTGAGGCGACCCGGATTTTCCTACTCTCTTTGGGGGAGGGGGAGAAGAGATTACATGCATCATTCAGTTGTGTAGATTCATTCTAAGATGCAATCTTTTGCAACACCGTTGTCTATAGCATGGTCTAGACAGTACATTTAAAGTTTATTGTTACGTGGAAATAAGTGTCTCTTTAATTGAATTGAAAGTTGATCTTCAGGAATTTCATAGTATCTAATAAGCTAAAAACTGTGTACATGCGGACAACTTGGCAGCTGGTCAACCCATGTAAACCAATTTGAGGTAGCTTTACATTCCTAAATCCTTGGAAATTTCTGTCAGTGTTTGACCCAGTTGGGTCTTTTGGCAATTTTGCAACCACACCCCTCTGTAACACTGGTCCACCGATGTCCTCAGCCATGAAGCACCATCGGCATTTCATACACAGTGCCCTGCAGTCGAGATCAGGACACAAGTTTCAATAATTTTGCGCTTTGAGCTGACTGCAGCCTTGTTTCCATCACAGTTTGCCAAGTTGGCCAAGCTGCTCCGTGATCGAGCCAACCTACCCATAGCTCGCTACCAGGACATGATCGTAGAGGCAACCAGAGCAAACCAGGTCGTCATTGTGGCTGGAGACACTGGCTGTGGGAAATCCACCCAGGTTTGTTGTCATTTGACCTCAGTAAACCAATTCAATTATTTAAAAAAAGCAAGGTCATTCAGGAACCAAGCACCAATGTCCAAGGGTGGATCCAGGGAGGGAGGGGCCTTGATAGCAATTTTGGGGGAGGGGAGAAAGGTGACTTTGGGGGGTTTTGTATTTCCCTTTTCTTCCTTTCAAAGTGTGTAAAAAGCACCAGAATGTAGCCTCAACCCTCAGTAAGGCCATAGATGGTAACCTAAAACTTCCACAATTTTTGCCAACCCCCAAACAATTTTACCCCCTCCAAAAATTGTTTTCCTCTGGATCTGCCCTTGGTGACGTCATGCAAAATTGGATGTGTTCCGTGCATGTGAGTCCGTGTTCTGGCGTGCTGACAAAGCTGACCTTGTGTGCATGTAGTGATCTTCTTGAACTGAATGACCTGTGATCTGCTTCATTTTGTCACCCTGTTGGAATACTGGACTTGCTGATCCGTTATTCTTTTGGTAAATACGGTGATGATTATGTAAATGGTGTTGGACCTCAAGGGGAGTTGCAAAGCCTTTGTATATATATCTCTCTTTGGTCTCATCAGGTACCGCAGTACTTGATGAAAGCGGGCTTCAAGGGCATAGCCTGCACCCAGCCTCGCCGCATAGCTTGCATATCCCTCTCCAAGCGGGTTGGCTATGAAACCCTGCATGAATATGGCATGGAGGTAGGGTACCAGATCCGGTTTGAGGCCAGTAAGAGTGCGGCTACCAAGATTCTGTTCCTGACTGAAGGTAGAATTTGCTTAACAATTCACTCAAACTTGACAAAATGCACTGCATGCAAGAAACAAGTGGTTGTGTCCATAGGCTGGATGCTTTGCAATAATCACTCCTTTTTTTTTTTACAAAAGTAGAAATATCTTTCTTGTGTTGTTCGTAAACTGCTGTTTTAGTTCAGATTTTGGAAAAGTGGAGTGTTGTAGAGGTTCCTGTTAAAATAAAAGAATCCATTTCTGTCCATGATAAACCTTTTCCTTCATAAGCCAAGGTTTAGTCTTGTTATGGGTTTGTGCACCATATTATCAGTGCCATTCGTATGCCTGCAAACCAGGGTATATATGAAATGTGACTCTTCGCCACTGAAGCTACAGATCACGCATGTACATGTGTACTTGTGTAATGAGTACACTTTACTCTGTCTGCTTTCAATTAGAAATCACTTCAAATGTTTCAGCAGTTTGCTCAAGCAAACACAACTCTGGACGATACTGCATGGAAGATAAGGTTTTTTTTAATGAAGTTTAACTAACTCTGTCATTTTGAGGAGGTCAAATCTGAAGTAGATGTTCATGACAATTACATATTTTGCATATATGATCCCAGTGTTCATCTTGATTGGCCAGATCAATTTCTTTTTATAACCTCCATCTCAGGGCTACTACTGCGGCAGCTGAGTTTGGACCCCACTCTCCAGCAGTACAACGTCATCATCTTGGATGAGGTCCATGAACGTCATCTCCATGGCGACTTCCTCCTGGGGGTACTCCGTTGCCTCCTGGAGCAGAGACAGGACCTCAAGCTGGTGCTTATGTCGGCCACCATCAACATTGGACTCTTCTCTGGCTACTTTGACAAGGCACCAGTTATTCAAGTGTGAAGCATGACTTTATGTGTTGGCTACTTTGCCAAAACCTGAGCGTCCATGCAAAGAAAAAATTTTCCTGTGACACATTTCGATAGTTTAAGTTCAGTACACCATAACATTGCACGTCTTTCTGATGTAAATTAAGGCCATTACAAATGGAAAAGCACTCTATATTTCTAACATCTCTGTTATATACATGATTTTATTTAAAAAAAACAACATCATTGCCAAGTCAGGCCCTAAAATTATGCAATACTGCAGTATGAGGTTTGTGGTATAACAGAAAATGTTTGATGTTATGATCTTCAAAACTGGTTATAGATTTGAAGGCATTGCACCATTCTATTTTCTTTTTGTTTTCTTCCGAAGGTCCCCGGTCGACTATTTCCTATCAAACTTGAATATGCCCCAATAAGTATAGAGGTAAAGTATAATAAGAGACATTATTCCCTGCTGTCAGACATGGCACCCTAAAGAAATCAATTCTGTAATTGCAAATAGTGTACAAAATTCAAATTTCAAAGGAGGACACAGCCTTTCTAGCTGTAGTAGTCAAGCAGAACGTTGTCTTCACTGGTATGCTGACATTCGACCCCATATGCAAAGAGAGGAACAATTTATGCAAATTAGCCAATTGCAAGTGGTAGTCACTTGCTATTCATTCCTTGCCTTGTTAAGTTAATTAATGCTTAAAATTCACAGAGTAAAATAAAAAACCAGTGTAAGCTTTTTTAAAAAGGTCATAGTTTTCTACTTCCATTTCGCCAACCAGCCCTTAGTGATAATAATATTTTGGTTCGACAGGAGCAAAGTTCAAAATCAGAAAAACTGGATCCCCGTCCCTACCTGCGCATCATGCAGCAGATTGACATGAAGTACCCAGCCACAGAGAGAGGGGACCTGCTGATATTCCTGAGCGGCATGTCCGAGATTTCCAGTGTAGTGGAAGCAGCTAAACTCTATGCTGCAACGACGCAAACGTGGATTGTGCTGGCGCTGCACAGTACATTGTCCATCGCTGAACAGGACAAAGTAGAGTATACATGATCATCCGTTTGCAATGTCACCTAGTTCATTGTTGTCAAACCATAATAAGTCTAGCTTGGACTAGGTTTGACAAGATTTTCGAAGTATAATAAGTATAATTAAACCTCTATTTCAAAAGTAAATCATTTGAAAAATACCATTTCTTTCTAAAGCTACTTTTATCTGTAAGTTGATAATCCTAGATTCTTAGAAGGACAGATCGTTAATTGTTTTTTTTTCATTCTCATTCCACCTGTTGCTTCTTTTCCCTATTAGGTGTTTGACGTAGCTCCAGAAGGTGTCAGGAAATGTATCGTGTCCACAAATATTGCAGAGACTTCGGTGACAATTGATGGGATTCGGTTCATTGTTGACTCTGGCAAAGTAAGAGATAATTAAACAAACTCAGAGGGCAGAACATTACAATCCCAGCTGAATGTTTCTCTAAGGACAAAAAGTAAAACCCATACTAAAGCAAATGTATTCTATTTTAACGACTTTTATGGATAGGTTTGTGTCACATGAAGATTCAAACACACCTTCCAGTCAGTGTATTGGATTTGAATCTTGTTAAAGCATTAAGGAAGAAAACTAAAGTTCTCTTCAAAATACAATCGTTGTATTATTCTGGGTGATACACTGTCGAGTTCTAAGTTTGTACACAAGAATTTGGGCTGCTGAAGAGGATGTCATTTTAGCCAAGTGTCGGGTAAAGCAACGGGCATGATGATTGCATCTTGACTCTTTGATTGCTCCTCAGGTCAAGGAGATGAGCTACAATGCAGAGGCCAAGATGCAACAATTACAAGAGTTTTGGATCAGCAGGGCCAGTGCTGAACAACGTAAAGGAAGAGCAGGTAGATATTGGGACTGCAGACCGGGTCTCTCTCCTCAACAATGAATGAAAGCAAAGTGGAATAGTTGATTAATAAAATAAGCCCAGATATTCGCAGAATTATCAAAACATTTGCCATCCAGAAGGAAAGAACATTAGCTGCCTGTGATATGAATTTGGAATCATGTTTCATATGCTGGCATCATATTTCTCATCACATGGCAAAGTAGACTTTGACGTCCTCATTCAAAGCTTTCTTTAGCCTAGGAAGGTTGGATCGTCTTGGAATGTGAGGAACATAAGACCAGAATTACCTCTGCGATGGAATGCTGCCTTGGGAGTTTAAATTCTACCTCCTGGTTTTTGCCCTTTTTTGCCTGGGTGGAACATGAACCACTCTATCCTGTTTTTTCAAGATGTATTTTTGACTCAGA